TGTATGCGTATACCAGGAGAAACTTCTTCTTAGAGTCAGTGTTTACATTTTAACTTTTATGTTGTTATTTTTTTAAAAGTATATTTAAATTTAGGAACCTTTATTAAGCTGGCCATATCTATTAAATAAATTGAATTTTCAGTGTACAACTCCCCACAAAGAAAACTCCAAGCTCAGATGGCTTCAACAATGAAGAATTAATACCCATTCTACAAAAACTCTTCCAGAAAACTTAAAAGAAGAAAACACTTTCAAACTTATTCAATGAGGCTAGGATTACATTACTCTGATTCCAACACCAGACAAAGACATTACAAGAAAAAAACTACTGCAGATCTATTTTATAAAATTTTAGTAAAATTAACCTAACAATATATAAATATGATAAGACATCATAGACAAGTGGGGCATGTAAAGCTAGGATAATGAATCAGTATAATTAGAAAACTCAGTCAATGTACTTCACCATATTAACAAACTAAGGAGAAAACCCACATTAGATAAAACTACACACAGAATGCCCAAAAGTAAAAATGTAATCAACCATATCAGATGTTGTTAAAGATGGAGACCAGAATCTCTCATGATTGTGCTGGAAAAATCAAATGGCACAAACATTATAGAAAACAGTTTCTTAAAAATAAACATCTATCATATTATTCTAGATATTTACCCAAGAGAAATAAAGACATATTTTACAAAGATTTGTTCATGGCACTTTGTTATAGTCCAAAACCAGACACATCTCAAATGTCCACCAATAGGTGAATGGATAAACAAACCATGGTTTACGCCTGGTATACTAGTATACAATGAAAGAATGAAAGACTACCCAGCAACCATTAATTTACACTACAACATAGACGAATTTCCAAATAATTAAGCTGAGTGAAATAAGCCAGACTATATACACAGTGCTTGGTCCCATTCATATACAATTCTAGAAAATGCAAACTATTATATGACAGAAAGAAGATCAGTGGTTGCCTGGGAAAGGTGGGGGTGGTGGCCTGGGGATATGAGGAATGGGCAGGAAGGTGTGGGAGGAATGATTATAAAGGGGCACAAAGAAAATTTGGGGGGTGATGAATATATTTGTTATATTAATTACAGCAATGGTTTCAAGGATGAATATGTATGTCAAAATTAATCAAATTGAATACTTTAAATATGGGCAGTGTATTAGAGAATCAATTTTTTAAAGAAAAAAATTATCTTCAAACTCTGAAGGAATATAACCAAAGTTTGCTCACATGGGTTAATCTTTGCTCTTCTCTTTTATGTATAGTGATGCTTCTTCACTGATTCTACAGTCTGTTAGCAGCATGGGGTGTATCAGTTCCTATCTCTAGAAGGTCCATGAGCTTTATTTGAAGTAATTTGTCTGACTGGGGTGGAAAAGCACATGATAATGTCTAGTATCATTTAAAACAAATTAATTTCCCATTTCATTTAGTTGGTAATAATTCTCAGTCTGGGACCTGCTGCAAATGACCTTAGGCTGAGTCACAAACAAAGATATCATAATAAAATCAGGCTAAAGTCCTCAAACTCAGTATCTCATTCTCAGTCCTTCAATATTATACTCCTATGGTTATGAGCTTTCCTTTTTTTCATATCTTTGCCTTTATGCCTCATTTTCATAATTTAAATTATACAATATTGGTAAATTAAACTACTTTGCCCCAAGGCTATAAAGGAGCTTCTGTGTATCCTATTATAAAATTAGCTAATTAATAATTTCTCTATATTGCCAATAAGCAGAACTACATGGTTAAATTATGATGATGGGGTCTTGTTGCATGCATATTATAAAACAGCAAGTCATCATTTCATGTCAGGCATATGTGTGAGAGAGAATGAGCTCAAACATGAACCAGAAGAATGAAAAGTGTCTAATTCTGATAGTTTTTTCCAAAGATGTCATTTGTGAATAAAAACAATTAAGTCATACTTGGGAGGGGAGAGCGTGTGTAAGGAGAAAGAGAGAGAGAAGAAACAAAGAAGGCCATGGAAGAAAAGGTATGTTAAGGTATCCAAAGAGAAAAAAAGCTGTACCATTCAATCTAATTAAATGCATGCTGTGTGGTATCCAAGTGAAAGCAGCACTAAATAGCTACATCACTTCTAGCTTAGCTCTAGGAGTGACAACCATACACCTCAGGCTTAGAGGGATAAGCATCTTCCCCTCCTCACCCCATTAAGAATTCTAAACTATTATCTGTCTGTGCCTGATTTCTGGTGCTTATATTATCATTTTGATACTAATACCCATATTCTCTTATTGTTTCACTCAATGGTAAGCCCTTATTCTCAAGGCATAAGTATAAATGTTACATTAAACAACCCCCATTTAGGTGGAGCATTATACACCAAATCTATGACAGTTAGATATGGAAATTTTGTTTTCGTGCCTTTCTTTTTTAATCATGTGAACCAATAAGATCCCCTAGTGTAATCTTCTAGCAAAGTCTAGAGTCAACACAATATCCTCTCTGTCACTTACTTTAACCTCCCACTGAAATGACAGCTCTATAGTCTCTTCTGATTGTTCAATCAAAACAAAATGAATAAACTTAATATTTAAATATCCCCCCATAGTTTCCATCAACAACCTTACAGCCCTATTTATTTGAGCTTGGAGAAATTGCATGTGATTTTTGTACTCTTGTACTCGATGAGTTTAACATACATTACAGTTCATTATCATATCAGCCTTCAACAAACTGATTTATTTTACAAAAAGAAGAAAAAGGCTTTGACCTTTGGTGGGAAAAAAGTAGAGGGTGACAAGACTGTGTTAATGATCTTATATTAAAAGATCTATGATGTTCAGTTCATTATAAACAATTCACAGATCTTATATTCATTTATTAAAGTATGTTTTTCTAGTGTCATGGGAAATTAAGTTTGGAAAACATTTACAAAGCCAAAAATAGTAAGGAGACTCTTATTTAGTATTAGAGGCCCAGTGCACAAAAATTCGCACACTTAGGGGGTCCCTCAGCCCAGCCTGTGCCCTCTCGCAGTCCAGGACCCCTCGGGGATGTCCATCCCAGGACCCCAGGGGATCGGGCCTCAGCTGGCAGTCAGACATCCCTCTGGCAGCCCAGAAGCCCTCGGGGGATGTCCATCTGACGGCCATAGTCGGACATCCTTAGCACTGCCGAGGAGGTGGGAGAGGCTCCCACTGCTGTGCTCACAGCTATCAGCCAGGCTTGTGGCTGAGCGGAGCTCCCCCTGTGGGGAGCGCCCTGACCACAAGGGGGCAGCTCCTGCATTGAGTGTCTGCCCCCTGGTGGTCAGTGCATGTCATAGCAACTAGTCATTCCACCCTTAGGGTCAATTTGCATATTACCCTTTTATTATATAGGATATGTCTACGCTAGTAATTTTGAAAGAGAGCTAGGCAAAAACCAGAACAAATATGTCCTTGTGTTCATTAGATTCCACATATAAGTGAAATCATATGGTACTTGTCTTTCTCTGACTGGCTTATTTCACTTAGCATAATGAACAAAATAAACTAACAAACAAAATAGAAACAGACTCATAGATAAAGAAAACAGGCTGACAGCTGTTGGAGGGGAGGGAGATTGGGAAGCTAGGTGAAAAAGGTGAAGGGATTAAGAAACAAAAACAAACTCATAGACACAGACAACAGTATGGTGATTACCAGAGGGAAAGAGGGGTGAAGGGAGGTAGAAGAGGGTAAAGGCAGGAGACTTGACTTGGAGTGTTGAACACACAATACAATATACAAATGATGTATTGTAGAATTGTATACCTGAAACCTATATAATTTTACAAATCAATGTCAACCCAATAAATTCAATAAAAATTAAACAATTTCTATTGATTACAAACAAGGATAACTCTGACTTGCCTAGCTTTTTCTCTGAATTAAAGCAGGCAACCTGTTTAAGTTCACCCTCCCTTTTCCCTCTTTTGTATAGCCTTAGAAAAGTGACCAGAGCAGGGGATAAGTACACACCCTGGAGCACAAAGCTTTGACTAGTCTCTCTCTCTCTCTCTCTCTCTCTCTCTCTCTCTCTCTCTCTCTCTCTCATTGTAAGATAAGGTTTGTCTGGCCTCAGTTGTATTTCACTGAATAATTTCATCACTTCTTCCCAGCTCAATATTAAATGGGCCATGAATATCTATCACTAGCTCAGTTTCACAGTTGAGAACATTGAGAAAAAGAACAAGAAAATCGCCTTCCAATCCAAAGAGGGTATAGTTTTAGAATTTTAGAGAAAACTCATCT